GCACAAGTGAACATCTTCCCCTCAAATCATCAGCATGCACCAAATCGCGAGAGCTATTTGTACATACAAAGAACATGTTGAAACGATCCAATTTGACAAAGTTACATGATGGAGCATTGTTGGGTTGGCATGGGAACGGTATTTTATTTCAAACGCGATTGATTTCGTTGTCGGGTTGATATCATCAGCATGAATCAAATCGTGAGAGCTATCTGCACACACAAAGACCAACCTGATCCAAGCCGATTTGACCAGGATAGACGATAGACATGTGAAAAGTGGTCTTGTTCATATTTGAAAATAGCAACTCCATGTTGTTGCTTGTAATGGATCTATGTACTTATACACAATAAAAGTGCGTCTCCATGAAACGATACAAAAAGTTGAGCCTTTTTAGTTGTACAGCATTAGACAATGACCTCTTTAAATCATCCATAGAACACGATCAACACCTGATGTCTTTAAGCTCACAATGTCAATGTTCGCCGGAAACAAAGCATCCCAAACAATAGTCCTTCGTTCTCATACGTGTGATCCATCACCACAATCCCTCGATCCCACTTTCAAATATGAAAGACATCCCATGTATTGTATATAACCAATCCACATTGCTTTAGGTAACGTCTATCTTGCCACGAGTTGTCATGGATACATCCTAGAGAAATGGACGGCACTTTTACGACGTATGTAAGCATGCATCTCTTCCAAGAGTGAGTGGTTTCACCTGCCTTATCCTTTCAACCTTGGTATGATTGTTCGCCACAAGAAGTCGCCATGTTGTTGTGAAATAGCCAAGTCGTTTGAAAAAGCGCCATCAAGGTAAAGCAACTCACTTTGTTGACCTGCATCAAGCCTCTTCTCCAAGTACTATAATCCATCCTTGTTGTCCTGCTTCAAGTAACGCCATCCTCTATAAGCCCATCACCATGAATGAGCCCTTTTTGTTGTAGGATCCTTGTCACCTATCACTGTGACACTTTACCTTGTTCCTGCAGAACATCCATATCCAAAAGAAAGTGCCTTGCTTCTTGCTTGTATAAAAGACCTTATTTGTGTCCATTGAAAGAACGACTCGAGGTGTGCACTTGAAGACGAAGTGAATGGTAGCTATCGCAGCTGAGGTTGAGAGGAACGACCGTCGTAGAAAGGTGTGCGTTGTAATAGATACTGTAGGTGTGTAGGAAGGTCACTTGTCTTGGGCTTTCCAAAGGCAGGATGGAGAGAGATATGTAAGTGATTCGCAGATCGGTTGACATGGTAAAGTTGGACGTGCCGAGTAGCATAGCGAAAGAGAAAGTTCTCATATAGCAACGAAGCAAATGGTACCTACGTATTGTTGGCCTTTTGTGCATTCTACCAACGAAGATATGATGAATTCAAGGACCTCATCCACAGAGTGTTGTCGATACTCACCATTGTACACGAGGCTGCTGCTTGCATGCTGTAGTTGATTGAATACAATGAGCGTTGGCGAGGATGTCGAGTCGGCTATCATATATACATTGTCGATCTTTCCATCCATCTCATTCTGCAGCGTCTTTTGTTGTATCGAGCCAAACCACGTATATGTTGCAAGAGATCTAGTAACATACGGCATTTTGAATCAGGTAAGGACACTTTGTTCACACCGACATCCTATATAGCAACTTACACGGTATGCCATTACTTCTTCAAATCCATCATACATATCCAGGTGCTTTGATGATCCGTATTAGTCGACCCTGATCAATCTTATGGTGATATCGCCATCTGCTGGGGTCCCTTTTTAAAAGTACTCGTCAATACCATGCTTGTAAACCATGCATAATTTTTCTCTTACCTTGCTAGAGCTCGTTGTAGTGTGTGTATATAGAATGAACCACCCGTAGAGAGTCGACTATGTGCTGCTTTGTTGTGCCAAGGTGTCCTTATCACAATAATGGGATAAATGATAGGTGTAGAAAAAGAAGCCTGCATTCGATACGTTGTATTCCCCTTGTACTTGGTGCCTGAGTGTTTCATCCATTGTTGAAGATTGATCATGCTCCTCGATAATGAGCCATCCATTGTCCTTTGAAATTGTTCGATAAAAAAGTAAATGGCTGGTCATCCATGCGATGTTGCTGCAGTTTTGATACATAACGATGTTGGGGATATCCACCAAAAGTGTCCTTTGCAAGATAGTTGTCAGCATCCGATTACACATTTACATCTACTCCATTGTCCTTACCTACATAGCTTTATAGCAGAGGTCTAAAATGGATACGTATACATGGCTTGAGGATGTGCTGATAGTTTGTGATGCGATGTTGCCATGATCTTGACGTCCAGGCTTATGATGAATGACCATCATCATTGCCACTCTTCACGTCGATGCCTTGCTGGAGCTTGAATGTCGTATAGAATGCATTGTTGTGGAGTGTACTGACATCTCGCGGAATAGTGCTGCTATAAACGATATCCATTGATGTCATTCTTTAGCCTGCTCTTATAGCACACACGCTCTCCTTGCCCTTACCTTTGGGAAGCTTGCAATGACGGATACATGACTTGTGTTTGCGGTGATAAGTCGTTGAACGATACTGGTTGTTCGTTGGCATGGAGATCAATCATGCTGTTGTGCGTGGCAACCACCACAATAGAAAAGGGGCCTTTAACATCTTGCTTGCAGTCCACATGATTTGATTGCTCTTACCTGAATGAGACATTCATCGGCAACCTTGTTGGTGTGTGTTGATCACTCGCGTAAATGTGTCGAGGTATGTGGGATATTCCTGCATGCCGACGCTTTTATCCAGGCGCCATCCAATTCCTTTGTTGTCATAGACAGATTCTCCTTGCACATGTAATCGTCAAGGTAGTAGTGATATAGCTGCTGGTTGTATATGTGGATGTTGTTGAGAAAGATTGCATACATATTCACGCGGTGTCGACCATCATAATCACCCTCTATAGAGATACTTTTTCAGTACTTTGAATACCCATGCTTGCCCTATCCACAAAGTACATTGTTGCCATTCTTATATGCATCACTGAAAGCTGTGCTTCGATATTGGATAATGTGTGTCTGCTGTTGGTTGACGCGCTGACGTCTTTGTAGCTGTATCCTACTCCATACAATAGGGTCCACGATCTCGACATTGGTACTTTAAACAAGAGCAGTAGGGCGACGAGTTGTTTGTTGCGCCAAGCGTTTCATAATGAGCGTACCTGGTTGTAGAAGAAGGCAGACGTTGTACAGCTGGAAATCGACCATAGAATAATGAGGTGTTGTAGCAATTTACTCCTGTCATTGGAATAAACAAGGTCGTTGATGGATGCGAATAGGAAAACGTTGGCTCATTGTGATAACGAGAAAGGGGAGAGAGCGAAAGAAAAAGAGAGAGAGAAGGACACTGAGAAAAGGAAAAGAGGACCAACCTTTTCTTCTTCCCGCTCACACCCATTCACAAACCCAAGCCTACCACGACGACAACCTGCAATCAACCACCACTGCACACCAACCGACAATGCCCAGCTCTTCTCTCTCCATAACAAGACATGGCAACCGTGGTCAATGGCAACTCCAACGGCAACATTTTAAGCATCACTAGACACGCAAAGACATTGCACGAGTGAGTCAAGTTACAAGCAATACGTGTTATACAATAAACGAGCGCTAACACAAGGTGGAAAAGGCTGCTGGTCTGATACAAAGATATACAAGGCTTCTTCTCTCTGGTACTGGTGAACAAGGTACCGTCTTTGGTCACACTTTTGATAATGAATATGGTTGACAAAGGGCGCATACTATAGTTATCAAGGGCACGTGGATCAGGGAGATCATGCTGTTTGCTATTGCTTTTACAAGTCATTCAGGTAACTTTCATGGCTGTGATGATGGTGATGGTGATGTGATGGGAATGCTAACAGGATTCATACGTGTACAAGGATGAGCAAGGCGTTTCGGATGCTGTCATGGCTAGGACGATAAGGTATGTGCTATGTGCTATGTGCTATGTGCTATGAGTGTGAATGAGAGGCAATACAAGGTTGATAATACAATACAATTCTAGATCCGTCGCCGTTGTGTAAGGAACAATTAGCAAGTTCGGGAAATACCGAGAAAGCATCTTTAGATGCGATCATCAACAAGAAGAGATCCAGCATGATCAATTGCACCTTTTATTTCACTCGACTTTCAACAATCACATCTTGATACATTATGGACGATAACGAGAGACCTTTCTATCGGCATGATCATGCCAGCAAGTGGATTCAATGGCCATGGACATGTATACGCTATGCAAAGGACAGCGAGGAAGATGGGAGATGTATCACGTGCCATTGTGGAACATGCAAGACCGCTTGTTTATGCAGCTGGGACAAGGGAAATTCCGATCATCCGACATTGATTGTATCACCAAGCACAATGAAACGCCCTCAACTTTTTGCTCATGTCAAGGTTCATTCACATTGTGTAAGTGTCTGTTATCAACAGGAGTTGATGACATCGATGGATACTAATTATATGAAAACATAGGACGGCCCCAGAAAAGATGCATGTCCAACATCTCCTTTATCCAATTCTCCTCGACGCATTCGTTTGGCATTGACTTGGGGTGCAATGGATTTGACTTTCGGATCGAACACGACAACGTGAACACTTTTCCAGCAGGCAAGTGATTGGAATGTCTCTTTTGCTTCCTGTTAATCCGAATTGTAGGAATGCTATGGTCATCGCTACCATGTGTTATGCAACAAGACGGCTTTCACAGGTACGTATTCTTTATTGGTGATGTTGATGATTTTCTGATTACATGGTTTATGGCCTCATTCTTCATCATGGATCCAGGTTGCTGTGATTGATTGACAAGTCTGCGCTTATCATGTTGAATGGACTATCCAAAACGTGGCATTGTCTCATTTCTCTACTGCTTCCTCAGGTATTTGCTTTCATGTATGTCGTGATTTGTCGTTGTCGTATTAACACTACCCCTTCATAGTCTTCACACAATCCCTGTTGATACGCAGCATTCGGCTACGAGGTATGCGGATGGTCCCATTGTATGTACCAGGCACCCATTATTGATTCTCTTTTAAATGGATTCTTGTATATTGCACATGCTTATTTGTAGCAAGTGGTTGGCAAGGTAACGACAAGAAAAAGTCACATGATACAAGCTACAGATAATTTGCTAACGTTTTTCACTTGTATTGGAGATAGAACACAACACCTTCATTTACATGGGTCATCCTATACGAGTCTCGAGCAGCAGCAGCAAAGTGGACATCGAGGAAGAGAGCGATTGGAATGGAGATGACTATGTCGTGTCACTCGTTCATTTGAGCAATGCATTGGACACATGGATATGGATGAGCAGCCATTGTATGGGGCACTACAGCAGCAACATTACCATGGCGACATACACCTTTGTTGGATATCATGCACTTTTGATTGATCCCCTATTTTGAACGATCCATTGTATACGAGAAGGAGCTTCAGCGAAATATTAGCAAGGTAAATACTGACAAGAGGTGCTGCGTGGATGACTTGAGCTGCAATGATTTACTAACGCTGTCAACTTGGCCCTGATATAGAATACACTTCTCCCAGCACCTCTTACTTGGTTACTGCGTACATGGGATTACACGATCGGATTATTCAATGTTGACAAAAGCGACAACGGTGAACAAGGTGCATTCTCTGGCAAGAGGCATGTGGATTAGCTGATCTTTGACGTGAGTATTATGAACAAGAGACCAACATCGATCAGGTGAGCTGTATGATCACGATAATGAAGGAATGGTGCCACTCACTGAATTCTTGTACAAGGATGAGGCAAGAAAACGTTTTACATGATTACAAAAGAAGGATAGAATAAGGCAAGTGATATCAGGTTGGTTGAAGAAATGGATACAGGTCAAAGCAAAGTGGCTAATCAATTACATGCAAACGTTACAGATAGCTCATCTCTCTCGAGTGCAATAAACGATTATAGCCTGTGGCGTGGCAATGGCTTTATTCCATGGAATCACTGGATCGATTGTTATTAGCACTGGTGGCACTTCTGAAGCTGGCAGTTAACACAAAAAGTGGGCACATGGGTCATTCAAGAAAGCAGCAATCATTGATATGAGCAGGCTGGTAAGGTACCATCCAAGGAGAATCGGAGCATCTGGGTTTGCTACGTGATGTCTTGGTACATTGATTGTGGGATACAACACACAACAGCGAATGGCGCCGTGTATGAGTCAATGATAGATGAGGGAGAAAAACGCCAAGAGGAACGTGAGCAGGAGAACAAACAACAACAATCAATGGATGCTGCGGCCCCAAATGATGCATTACCAGAAGAAGAAGCAGTAGATCCAACGTCATCACAAGAACAGCACAACGAATCCAACTTTATTGCATGATACAAGCAATCTCACCTGGTTGAGCTGCGATAGGAAATGATCAAGGAAGAGATAGACCAACATCAGGATGGAAAAGGAAGCGTATTGGACTTGCACTGGTTATGGCGATGGATGCATGCAACCAAGTGCAGTGATTGGGAAAGGTGGAATGTCTCTTTGGTTTTTTGTCCTGTCGCCAGCAGGAACGATGGATCACATCACGTGAATACGGTTGAGGATGATGATGGATGGGATACAATTGAACAAAGGTGCCATGGATGGATATTGGCATGTGAGTTAATGCACGCAGCAGCTCTTTTGCGATTATGGATGAAGGTGTTTATGGCGGCAGTAACCAAGAATACAATGGCACAAGGACACCCGTTGACTCTATGTAATTTACCCGTATAAACTTCATCTGGCAATATTAGCTAGTAACACACTTGTCTTTTGCATCCACGGCTGCAATCCAATAAATATGCGTTCTACCTTGATCGACTTTTGCTATTGCACCATAATATTGCCATCAAGACCAATTAACTGATATCAGCGTGGCTGAATGATCATTGATCCTTACATTATTCGTTACGTAAACGTATACATACATACATGGCACTCTGAAGATGACCAGTCGTACTGTATGTCAAAATTGTGACCTGTGGCGCCATCATCATGAGCACATCAACAGGTGAGCTATTTCAAATACGCGTTTTTTGGTGCCTCATTATCTTGGCTATGCTTACAAAGGATAGATTACGCCACTACCAGCGTGTTGGGCTCATAGGGTTACACGACGGCAAGTAGTTTTGGACGTTTGGTGTGACGGATGAGATTGAGGACTGGTGACGAGTACGAGTAGGAATGATGACGGAGGACGACTACGACGATGGTGGTGGCAACGTACAGTACATAGCAA